GGGTCTGGGGAGGGTAGTGTGTACGCAAACCTTACCTCTATCATGAGGTAGAGAGGCTGTTTTCAATAGACCCTCAGCATCCTTCCCTCCAAGAACTCCCCACCTTGCTTTTGGGGTGACTCGAACTCACAACCTCTTGGTTGGAAGTGGAGGTTGCTTACCATCAGAGCAACCCTCTTGTGATTGGAATATTTTTTATAGCTCTAGATGGAATAATGCATTCAAGAACTTAGTCTAGTGGTCAAATGAAGTCTCAAGTTCTAACATAAATGAAAATACTACATACTTTCTTCGTATATAAGTCCAAACCTTAGTGGATAGATAGAGTTACTCGATAACTGTATTGATAGACGATAGCATATATCCTTATAAAATTAGTTGAAATACACGCCATCTGGCTCGGATTTCATTATTCTAAAATAACGAAAGCCAACACCACCACCACCAACAACAACAACAACAATAATTTAAAAAATTAGTTATTGAGAAAGTACCTTTTTGAAAAAAAATGTTCCGCAGACAAGGGTTAATTAGTGCATGTCTTGCGTCAATATATTGACAGATCAATCTTTTTACCGAATTTAATGCAACTAAATTTATTCTGATTAGATACGCATGTTATTCAATTATTCAGGCTTTTTATATCTTGGCAGCTTTAGATTATTCCCTTATTAAAAAGATAGCAATCTTTATATCATGATTTTTTTTAAATAAAAAAAAAACAAGAGTTGGAAAGGTTAAAATAATGAAGAGATAACAAAGTTGTTTTCATAATTTGACACCATTGCACATAGATCATTTTAAGAAAATGCTTATTGGAAAATAATAGGAAATATAGAAGACTAATTTATACTTTAATAACAATGAACAAAATAAACTTCAAGACTAGCTAGTATGGTTAACCCAAGCTAATAGAGCAACTAAACAAACCTTCTACATTAACCATCAAAACAAAAAGTACTAAAATAGTAATATCTTTTGTAAAAACCTAAAAAAATATACTAGAAGCCATATATTGAAAATCCACTAGAATTTCGAACAAACAATAGATGCAAACTCATATTTCTAAAAGTGTTATTAGTTCAGTGCTAAAAAACATAAAGATCGAACTCATCAAATTCAAATCATAGGTTCTATCTCCGAATAAAATTATATATAACCTTTCTTGGCACAAAGCTTTTCCAACTCCTTGGCAACATAATCAATTTCTTCATCCCCTTTGGAACAAAGCATTTCCTTCATATCCCTTGCCTTTTGACTTACAAGTTCACCATTTTTATCCAACACCATTTGATTTATTATGGTTGCAATTTCCTTTTTATGAACAGAGGCGGGTTCGGGATTTGAATTTTATGGGTTCAAATTTAAAGTTCTATCATATTGCATCTAATTTACTGATTTCAGAATCTATTTTCGCACTTATTTAACTGGATTTTTAATACATATACAGGACCTAAGTAACCTAAGCCGTAGTTACTGGGTTCAAACGAACCTGTAACTTCTTCATTGGCTCAGCCCCTGCCTATGAAGTTTCCCATTGCTTTCCCTCACAACTTCCACAGGAATGCCCACCTCTTCAACAAGTCTAGAATTAATTGGTTGATCAACATGCATAGGCATGACGATAATCGGAACGCCATATATTTCATGCTCTCTGTTACAGAACTCGATCCACAATGACTCATAAAACCGCCAACGCTCGAATGTTCCAATATTTTAGCTTGTGGTGCCAATCCAAAAACTTTTCCCCTATTCCCTACCCTATTAAAAACCCCTTTAGGCAATGCCTCTTCTAGTTCAACATCTTCTTCTCCTTTTTTGGAACCTTATAGGCCATATGAAATTCACCTTACTATTTTCCAACCCATAAGCAATCGCTGAAACATCTTCCTAATTGGAAATTGAATTGATCGTGAAAATTCTGGATGGAGTTTTTTCAAAGGTATAGGATAGGCAAAATACATAAGTTGCCACCTAACCTATGGCCCAAATCCCCCTTACACACTTTCTACGGACAATAATAATATTACACACGCAACCTTTCCAAAGTGTATCTAGTACACACCTTTTTTGACCAGGTCCCTTAAAAAGTTCATCCGTGTATTTCACGCGTTTGACTTTAATTTATAAACTTGACCAACTTATTTTTAACCCCTTATATTATATTAACCAACCCGGCCATACCCGACCCATCTGTTAAAAAGGGTTAAAACTAATTTACCTCAAATTAACTCTCATTTCTCCATACATCTCTAAGGAGCACTGGTGAAGGCGATTCTGACGACTATCTCAAGCGAGGCTTTCATCTTGTATGGGAGGAGGATTTATGCGATTTTAGGTTAATAATTTTCTTCTCCTTGCATTACCCGTTTATTTTAGTAGTGGGTGGGTTGAACGTAGGATTTTTTATCGAAATTTCTTCTATTTGCTTTAGGGTTTTCGGACTTTTTAAAAGGGAAATCTTTTGTCATTGTCGATATTACTGTGAAGTTGTCGTGTTGTTGCCTTTACATGGAGTTTTTTATATAAAGATTTACTTTGTGTTTGCAAACCGTGTGTAACGTATTGCTTTGAACAATGTGATACGCTCTTGTCTTTGTCTCCACTTTTATATTTCATCTGTATTTCTTTATTTTCAGTTGTTGCATGTGGCAGTCGATTTATTTGTCCTCTTGTTTGCTTGTAGAAAATGTCTCTTAAATTGATTACACTCAAGTGGTACCATGATGGGTCTTAGTTCCTGGCAACTTTGCTCGTTATGTGGGGGTAGTCAAACATTGACTTTAGATGTAGATGTGGATTTACTGTCTTTTATTGAACTGATGAACTACACTAAGTTATATGAATTTAAGAATGTGGCTGAGCTGTATATTTATCCAATTGATAGGACAGATAAATTGGTAAGTATTCTCAGAGACAAGGATATATTAGACATTTGTAATGAATTGGAAGATGGGGATACCTTAGATATTTATGTGACTCATGATGTCCTTTTAAATGTTATTGACATAAATGAGGCTAGTAAAGGTGTTGGTGGGAGTAATAGTGGAGCTTTTAAGAGCACAGTAATCTTAGAAGAAGAAGATAGTGAACCTGAACCTGCACCTGCACCTGCTCCTGCTCATGCACCTTCAAGAGAACAAGAGAGTGAAGTAAATAGTGAATCAGATGATGATGAGGGTAAGGATGACAATGAGAATGATTCAGACTTTGATAATCCTGATAGTGATGAGAGTAATGGAGTAGACTTGCATGTTCTTGATGATAATGATTATGGATCAGATGTTCATGAAGAATTTGCAGAGTGTAGGGATGAACTAAGGAAATATAGGAGGAAAAGGAGTGAAAGTCCAAAAGATAGGGGTGATATTAACCTGGGTGATGCAGGAGTTGATATTGGTTTTGATAAATTAAGAACCGGTAGCAAGCAAAATAGGTACACATGCTTAGTAGTGACAGATGAGCCTTATTTTGGGTCTTCTGATACTGAAAGCTTTCCTTCAGATGCTGAAGATGAATTTTATGAAGAACATAAGGAGAGAATGGCTGCCAAGAAGAGGAAAAAAGTCCTGATATTTGATCCAACTGTCAAGAAAATAACCTGGGAGTTGGGGCTGATTTTTTAGAGTGTCGATGATTTTAGCTTGGCTGTTACTAAGTATGCAATTCAGAAAGAAGTTCAAATTGAAAAGTATATTGATGAACCTGGTAGGGTGAGGGTAAAATGCATGCACCCAAAATGAACCATCGCTAATTAAAAAGATGTCTGGCAGACCAAAGAAAAAGAGAAGAAACTGAACATCCTAAGTCTGGAAAGCTTTCAAGAAGGGGTATGGAGATGACATGTTCAAACTGTGGTGGCTATGGACACAACAAAAGGAGTTGCCCCAAGAAACCAAGGCCTGCAGATTCTACTCCTGCAAATGCTTCTTATAGAGAAAGATGTGGAGGAAGAGGAAGAGGCAGAGGAAGAGGAACAGGCTCAACTTCTCCTAGAGCTTTAACTTCAATTACTTCTGCCCCTACTGCTGTTGGCAGATGAGGAGGAACTGGTAGAGGTAGAAGAAGTAATACACCTTCAGCTTCAACTACTTCTGCCCCAGGAATAAGAAGAGGAACTGGTAGAGGTAGTGGAAGTAATACACCTTCAGCTTCAACTACTTCTTCCCCAAAAATAGGAAGAGGAACTGGTAGAGATAGTGGAAGAGGAACTAGAAGTTCTGGGTTTGGACTGTTTCAATCAAGCAGTGGGTTCACAAGTTTTTCTGTAAGTACTTCAAACTTAATTTTATGTCTTGTTTGGTTTAATTACTTTACTAAATATTTTTTGTTTTGGCAGTCTGGTGGAGGTAAACCAAGAGTGGTTTCTCATGGTGGTGAAAAGAGGTACTCAGCAGATATTCATGAATGTGCCTACAAGCCAACAAGTGGAGTAAAATGGAATGGTAGACCAGCCATTACTAGAAGATAACTTGAAAGAACTGCTGCATCCCATTCCAGAACTGCTACATCCCATTCCAATCTAAGTCAAGCAAGTTCGTCATCCCAACCATCCAAGAACAACTATATGTAGTTGTGTATTGAATGTTGTTATTGTGACTGTTGAGTTATTTTGGAACTGTTGTTAGGTTATTTTGGAACTGATGTTAAGTGGTGTAATGAATGTTGTTATTTTGTTAAGGCGGGTTGTTGTTATTTTGGTATGTTGTTAAGATGTCAACCTATATTTTTGTTAAGGCGGGCTTCTATTAGATGACTATAATGAACACCTTTACTCTATGATGATATGTGTTTTAAATTGAAAATTTCTGGGCAGATTCATCTCTTTAGTGTTACTACTTTGGTATTTCAGCATTTGAGCTGTATTTTAGGCAGCAATTTCAGCCACTACTTAACTGTGTAAGCAGTGTATTATCTGCATTTTCAACTCACATAGCAACAACCACAAACCAAACAACATTAACAGTTGCAAAAAATTTCATTCATTTCTATCAAAGGGATACAAAATCCACCAAAAAGCTTCATTCATTTTCTTACATTATATAGCAATCTTTAGAACAACCAAACACAGTCAACTTCAATACAATTACAATTAAAATCAGCACACACAATCTCCTCCAATTTCTTTGATTCCTATTTTCCTTCAATAATGCATCAAACGCCCTCTTCTTCTTAAGCAGCCCCAAAATCACAATTTTCAAGTGTTCTGGAGGTGGGGGATCAAACCACACAAAGAAATTACATACCGAGCGACTGCCCCTCTGAAAATCGAAGAGAAAAAATTATTAAGGAATATAAAATCGATTATAAAAGTACAATTGATATTTACCTCATAAAATGGACATCCGTAAAATCGACGACCAGGATTATCAATACTCCATGACTGTATCACCACAGCTTCTTCACCACAATAACAAAATTTTCTCAGATTATGCATTTTCCCTAACCCTAAAATTGAACCCTAGAAATTAAACCCTAATGTCGAAAAAGAGAAGGAAGAAGTAGAAGAAGATTGTAATATTGGCAACAAAAAAACGCATAAGAAGATGTCAAGAAGAAGAAATTTTCTGCAACTTCGAGCTTTCAAGGAGGAGGAAGAAGGTGAATACAGGTCCAATTTGAGAAGAAATGGGTTGAGGGCCCTTTTATTTATTTAAAAATGGCCGTTGGGATTTGTTTCTGGCCGTTGATTTAAGTCAGAAATTGTCTACTTCTACTGTCCACGCGCTTCTACCGTTTTGTGTTACACACGCTTAGACCTGGTCAAAGGAGGTGTGTACTAGATACACTTTAGAAAGGTTGCGTGTGCAATATTATTATCGTCCATGGAAAGTGTGTAAGGGGGAATTTGGGCCATAGGTCAGGTGACAACTTATGTAATTTGCCTTTAGGATATCCATATATTGACGCAAGACATGCACTAATTACTATTGAGTAATTTTTTCAACAAAACAAAAATGAAGCATATGTGCTAGCTAGTGAAACTATAAAATTCATACCAATATCAAATCTCCATGCTTCTACCTTACGGGCAATAGCCGCAAAGTGCTTCAAGCTTGCTATATACAAACATGTGCGCGCAAGCTAGCCTGAACCACATCATAATTCAAAAAATATATTGAAAAATACCTCCACTGTATCAATTCATGTGTATGTCACATTCCATATATCATTCATGAGCAGGCAACTAAATGTATAAATCCTTAACATATGATGGCAATGTTATACAGAACAAACCACTCCAAACATCCATCCAAAAATGCTCATGTTGCCAAACAGATATTCACTCGTCTCTTCATCCTATTACGACAAGGCAAAACACAGTGTTATACTACTACATCGGCGTTTGTTGCAATCTGTTCAATTGTAACTTCCAAAACATTTCAGTCGAAGTTCACGATCTGATTAAATCTACTTGTTTCGTTATCTAAATACATGTAGACTACTTCTGCTTTAGGTGATGCACGGAAAAAGTTTGAGAACTCAGCGAATATTTCTGATCTTCTGTCAAGAGATATGAGATTTATGTTACATAGATCCGATGGATCGATTAGCACTCTTACCAACACTGGGGACTTGGCTAAGAAATGCTTGATAAGCTGCATTTCATGTGTTATTCCTGAAAAGATTTTTAGCTTAACTTCCTTGAGGAGATTAAATGTCACATCCGAGAAATGTTCGAGTTCAAGCGATTCTACAACAACATTATCATGTCGATTAAGAACCTAAGAAACATAAAAAGAAGTCAACTCCCAGATTATTGAGGATCTAAAGAAGTATGAAGAAAAAGCCTCTAAAAAATAAGAAAGAGAGAAAAGAGTCAAAGTACTACGAACCTCAGTTTCGAATGATTCCAAGTATGGGAAGCTTCTTATCAAGCAAATATAATATGACAACTCATATGATTCCCTCAGAATCATATGAGGCACGTACAAATGCTTGGCCCGATTATGATCAAAGGGAAGCCTTGTTGGTGCTTCATCTGCTTCTGCATCATCAAACTAAGAAAGAGAATACCAAAATTCAAACTCAACGCAAAAGAAGTTTCATGTGTTAATACATGCATAACAATGAAATCATAAAGCAACATCTACCTTGCCACTAAATCAGAGGTGCTCGAGAGCAAAACAAGACTCGAAAAATTTTGCAAGATAAAAGTTCTCTGCTTCCATAGAAGAACCTTGACATAAGTTCAGAGATGCTTTTGTCAGAAGAGGAACATTCTTTAGACAGAGAGAACTTATACTGCCTGTGAAATCAAAGGATCTCAGCATGGGGGCATTAATTTATATTCTGTTTACAACTTCTGAGATTTCCAGCACCAACTGCTCAAGCAACGGGCAATGAGATATTAAACTTTCGAGCAATTCAGAAGAAATTGTGACTCTACATAGTTCCAGGCTAATTAACTTATCAAATCCTTTAAAGGCCGATGGAGGATGTATTAAGCAATCATGAAGAGTCAAATGTCTCAGCTGCGAACATTCGAAAAGTGAAGAAGGCATTTTGTATATCTCATGCCATGGAAATTGAAGAACAAGATGTTGAATGTCATTCCTCGAGAGGAAATTTATGAAGTTGTCAATCATAGGACATCCTTTCGAATCAACAACGTCAAGCTTGAACTTAGTAATGGGTCCTTCATGAAGGGTCAAAATTTGGTAAATAATCTTTGTAAATTTAACTATAGGGTATAGTTTATCCTTTTTTGTTTTCCAAAGAGATTCATCAAGCTTCAACTTTGTAAGTCTACACCAGTGATTCCTCCATTTTTTCGATAAGATACTTGTCCTCACAGCATCTTTACAAGGCAAACGCATCGATTACATGATCAGGAAGGTTGCTGATGATGTCAGGACCTAAACTTCGACGATTCTTTCTTCCATTAGGAGGCATCATATAAGACTAATCACCAAGAACCTGTTATAAGTAATAATACAAAGTAAGAATCTCCAAACTATTTGGACAGAACGGCTATTCACATTGTCAAACCAACAGAAGAAATAAAGGTGCATTCGCGCTGAAATCAGTCAACTATCTCCTCTTAATATCAATGTTATACGGATATTCTAATTTGCCTTGAGATGCCCATATCAAGCTAACCGAGTGGCTATTCTAACACCTCTACTGGATATATAACATAGCTTAATATCCATTAATTGCATTCTCACAACAAGAATAACCTTCTATCAATAATTCATAAATACATTTTTGGGTTCAAAAGGAAAAATGCAAAGAACAGAAATAAATTCCAAAGAATAAAAACCAGAATAATTTCCAAGATTTGGTCTTTTTACAAAATTAAGCTTAGGAAGCTGTTTTTGCTGGATTGGAACATCAGATTAGTAGTTTTAATAGTATTAATTTTGCAAACCATAAGGAACCTATAATTGCAATAAACACCAATTAAAAGGAGAGATTTACATTTTAAGTAATTATTTAGAGCGGGGGAGGGGGGTGTACATTTTGAAGCGTACCAAGACGTAGGAATACCTATAATGTCAAATCTTCAACTGTTCTGGACACTTCAATTTGACCTTTCAACTCTTTAGGGTTCATCGCCAAGTCAAAGAGAGAGGATTTATTTAAAGGGCAAAATTGGCCCTGAACTTCGCAAATGGTTCAAATTTGTCCTCATTAATGGTTATTGATACGGGCAAGCGCACAAATAGCCATTCTCGTAAGGTTATTTAGAGATTAGTATGTACTTATTTTGTCTTAAAATTTTAAACTAAAAATATTAACTTCAGACAATTCAGGATATTTTTATCCTAAAAATTTGAAGTGAAAAATTAAAATTTAAGACGTAGTGGCTAATTCCTAAATAACATCTCTATAAAGTGGCTACATGGTATCATTTCTACGTTAAATTTGCCGAAACTTAATCACCAATAGAGCTCCACATCGACCTTCTAATACTAAGGACCTGTTTGGCCATAAATTTTGTCAAAATATATTTGAGTTTTTTTTTTGGCAAATACATATTTGTTCATAAATTTTATTCATATTTTGGCAAATTTTCAAAACCCAAAACCAGCTCAAGAACTAGTTTTGGGCCAAAATATTACTATTACATTTTTTTTTAAATTGCCCCAAGCTTTTGTATTTTATAAAAGAGTCCACCATTTATTATTTTGTAACAATGTTGTTTCGTCTTCTTGGTCATCTCATAGTGTATTATATAGTTTATTATAAAAATGATAATTTTGTACCAAATTTATTTATGTTCAGGATTATGGTTTGTGAATGTTATCGATGAAGGTTGTTATGAACAAGGTAGACAAAAACGAATGGATTGGGCTTGGGAATGGGTTATACATGAGTCAGAGTATTAACCAACCCAAAAGGAGGTTATTAAACTATAATTGGGACCCATGATGAGGTAGCAGTTATTAATTTGGGACTCAAGTTGAGGTACATGTGTCAACGAATTACTGGACAAGAGAGAATACAGTTATTATAATTATTAGTTTGTGCAAGTGTAGGGTTATGCCAATTGTTATTTGGAAATTCCACTCTCCTGGTTTCTCTCCCTCGTCTGTTTCTCTCTCTATATGGCTCTGTCTTCCCATCCTCTTTCTTTCTCTTACTACCCTTAGTTGTTATTACTTTTCAGTGTAATTGTTTGTTCTCAGTATCAATATATATCAATCCATTATTTGTGTATTTGATCCATTACATTGGTGCTTTCGTCGATTCGGACTCCATGGATGTCTACTCTTCTACCGTTATAAACTATCACTTCAACATCATCTAGGATTTAATATTGAAGATAATGGACAACAATTCTCGTATGCTCAGACACCTCGACAACATTGAGAACACGCTTTCTCCCTCTTCCAAGACGATTCCCCCCCTCCAGAGTATTCGGATGTGGTTGTGTCTTTGGAAGATACACGAGAATCAGAGGAGGTTTCAACACCTCTTGTTATCGAAGAATCCGAGTTGAATTTTAATTTGGATAAAGGACTCTCCAGTCCCGTGGACAAGCCTGAGGTACTTCCTGAGCTAGTAAATCCGTTGAGTAATCCTTCAAACTCATTGCATTCTCCTTCCTTAGTGGTTTCATTTGGTTGCAATAGGACTTCAAATACTCCGCTGGAAACACAAAATGTTAAGGAAGAATATTCACGAAGATATGCCTGCAAGGTGTTTGCTTAAATAATCGATAAAGAGATTGACATGAATGTTGAAGATTCGGTAACTTCCGTCACCCAGTTGTTCAATGAGATGTGTCAACCAATTTTGACAGCTAAGGGTGATTTAGCATTAAGGCAGAATGAGACTAGTATTTTTGTACACTGCACAACCCTACTTGGATATAAAAATATATTATTTGAGATTACATGCCATATTCCCATTATAGACTTCCCGTTCGATCGTGGTGCATGTGTGCTCAAGTTGAGAAATATTGTTGATGCCCGCAAAAATATAGCAACATTAAACAATGTGCTAGCCTTCTGACAAGTGATATGCATTTTGATACTTGGCCTGCTGATATTTTACCTTTGCATCATCCTAGTAGTGCATTAGATTTATATGTTGATACCGAAGAATGGAGAAGCATAGTGCACACAATTTTCTTTGAGCTTGATAGTGGCAGCCTACTAAATAATTTAAAACATTGCTTGGTTGTTTCTTGCATGACTAGACCATTCTATGTGGTGACTAATTCATTTGACAAAATGGTGCTGAAGATCAGTGTTGACAATGCTCTGAAAATAGTTGGTGTAATTAGCCGGGTTAGTTTTTCTTCAATTGAAATGCAACTTGAATTTAAACTGAAGCCAGTGATTAGGGACAATAGCTCAGTATCAGTTGCTCTGACAACAAATTTCATTTATGCGGCTTGTGACTATAAGAGACGGACAACTACTCCAGTGATTCGTTTATCGCATGAGGTAGCAGCTGAAATATTACTTTCTGCAGCATCAAAATCATGGTTTAAATTTTGGTTAAGGGGCACACGACAGAGGCTTGCAAATAATATCACCCAAGGCATTGTGCAAATGGCAATGGGTTGGATGGAGCTTGAACCTGGTACAATGACCTTATATGGGGTGCCTACAACTTGCACTCCAGTATGCGTATATGTCTACTATGCGACTATCAAGGGTGCCTTGCTTAAAGCTTGTGCGAGACAAAACAATTTGAAGTTTGGTAGCTACGAAGAGGACACTATATTTGACCTTTATCCTTATGATCCAGGACCCCATGTTCTTCTTCCGAACTCCTATGGTTCTATATGTAGGGAGAATACTGTTGTCAGTGTTATGATTTCTTTGCAGAGTAGTGCCGATGGTTATACATATGATTTTGCATTATTAACTCAATCCAAGATGCTAAGTGGAATTGTTTTGGATATTGTTGACGGCCTTAATAATGCTAGTTGGATTGATGTGCATATTAGCATCATTTGTTATTTACCACTAGTGATCATTCGTTATTTACCTCAGCTAGTGAAATCAGATTGTTCATGGGCTAAAGGGAGAGTGAAATATAGAATTTTCCATTTTACATATTTAGACAAATTTTGCTTTGATATAAGCAGGAAGGGTAACCTTGTTCTTTGCAATTCAGTGGACAAACCTAGTACTTGTGGCCTAATTGAAAACAAGTTTGGTGATGCTTTTATTTCAGGGGTTTCAATGTATAGTAAAGCTCACTTGACGTTCTTCATGTACTTGTGGTGACCCAAAACTAAGAAAACTACATATGTCTATGATCCTTTTCTTAGCCTGGTAATTTCAAGGCATGCTATTTTGATTGATCAAAACATGTTGGAGTTAAGAAATAGAGCCAGTAACTATGGTCAGATGAGGATTTGTCATATTTTGCAATATCTTGCTTCGCAGTCAACTCCACCATACCTAATTCAGCAACAAAGACAACACAGCTTAATGGGACCTCATGTCAACACTCTTTCCTCATTGATAAGGCTATACTCGAACCTTGGGGACAAGGTTCTTTTCAAGGGCGGGAGTATTGTTATGAACAAGGTAGACAAAAACGAATGGATTGGGCTTGAGAATGGGTTATACATGAGTCAGAATATTAACCAGCCCAAAGAGAGGTTATTAAACTATAATTGGAACCCAGGTTGAGGTACATGTGTCAAGGAATTACTGGACAAGAGGGAATACAATTATTATAATTATTAGTTCGTGCAAGTGTAGGGTTATGCCAATTGTTATTTGAAAATTCCCCTCTCCTGGTCTCTCTCCCTCGTCTATTTCTCTCTCTCTATGGCTCTGTCTTCCCATCCTCTTTCTTTCTCTTACTACCCTTAGTTGTTGTTATTTTTTAGTGTAATTGTTTGTTCTCAGTATCAATATATATCAATCCATTATTTGTGTATTTGATCCATTACAAAGGTATTATTGGGTATTTGTGATAGTTTTTAGAACTTGTGGGAATAAGTCATGTTTCATATTTTTTCGAAAAAACAAAGTGACATATGTTTTGAAAACTGATGTCCAAACACATTTTCATCTTCAAACCAAACTTTATCCAAAACAAAATTTCAAAACAAATTTGAAAATTTATGGTCAAACGCTAGCTAAAACACTCACGTACCTAAGGTCAAATTTGGATTATTTCGAGGCAATTTTTTAGTAGAAAAATATCTCCACTTATACCAAACACAAACAACTGTAACATTACCCTATGAATATTGTTGGAAAAATAGAACAAATAACATTTAAAAAATAAAATAAAGAAAATCAAATAAATATTTTTCAGGTTGAAGCACGAATATCTCGCTCTTTTTAAGGAGATTCAGGGTTGTCGCGTTAGAATTTTAATTTACCACTCCATCAACAATACTCTTAACTTGTCATGTTCATGATACAACAGTTTGACAATGTCGTATGACTCAAACAACTTCACACTAGTTGTTGGGTCCAAAACTCGACCACAAAAAAATATCTTCATTCGACAAAATAATATTCTCTTTTCTAATGAATTAGTTGGAGATATAAAAAAAAATTCTTCTCTCAAATCTCTCTTCTTTACTACATCAAATTTTTTATAATTATTAAACCTTATTACCAAAATTGAAAATGTATGTACAGATAGTAAAAAAAACCTCAGCTTTAGGACATTTTCCACTAGCATGTTGTGTAATCCATTGTAACTCATCGCCCCATTATACTGTATTCCTTCTGATTCAACTTCTGCCAAATAATCACATATACCTCACATGTGAAGAAGAGGTGGAACAGACTTTTATTTCGTTACTGCTTCTTTCTCATTTACATGTTATGGAATTATAATTTTACCTTAAAATGTTCATACCAAGGGAAGCCCGGTACACTAAACTCCCGCTGTACACGAGATTCGGAAAAGGGCCGGACCACAAGGATCATTGTACGCAACTGATCACGCCCAACTATGCCTTATAAAAGGACTAAGCGGTCGTTGCAAATATAATCCGGTTTTTTCAAGTACGGAGTCGAATCTCACACAGAACTAAGGCTTAGCTATAACTGTTTATTATCACTAAGAAGACAAGCTCGAACAATTCCTAAGTTATAAAGATTGTGAATTTATTTCTAACTAATTAAAGTAGAATTATTAACTAAACATACTAAAGGGTAGAGA